TGGTTTAGACGTAAGTGGGCGTGGCTTATGAGCAATCTAAGCATCTGATTGGTTGATGAGTAAAGTGGGCGGAGTCAAATCCCTGCCTTTGACAGTGCTTTGCGGCTATAAGGGCTCCTTACCTACTCGCGTTCATTCATTTGATTATGAAAACAGTTACCATGAGTAATTCTATTATTGAATTTAATAGTAGTTTTGCGATACTTTATAACGCATTTATTGATCCACGAAATATCAATTAGAGTCATATCTCGGCGAAAAAACTCCCGGATTTGTGCGGAACGGGAATGAATGTAAACGTAAAGTAATGTGATTGAGATATCACTACGATTTGTGAAATGCATTTTTATTATTCTCGAGTTCTCGATACCAGTGGTGTTCATCGCATACCGGGTGTCCGACTCGTGCGCCCATTGAGACAATACTGTCCAACAAAAGTAAGAATATTGGTTAAAATAATAAGCTATTTGAGGCGCCACCACATCATTACAGGTTATTTCATTGCCCTTAGATTTTTGAAAAGTACATGAAAAATAACTATCCAGTGGCTTAAATGAAGCGAATATATCCTTAATTGATTGGTTATTAAATTGTTTGTCATAAAATGTTCCCGTTTTTGACATATACTGTTTCCTAGTATCCGGTCGTATGAGACCGTAAACCCAGGCACACATTGTGACCGCCGGCGGACTGACCAGTGTTTCCGATTCAAAGGATATGTTTGTTGTGGTTTCGTATGAGAAGTATATTAAGCTTATATTATAAGCTTGGTAAAAAAATCCACAAAATAGTAGTGTTTTTAATATTAAACTCTTTATTGATATTTTAGGGAACATTTTATATCTGTAATAATATATATGGGGAATTTTTTATACCTTATATTTTACATCTTACATTTTATATCTGGGGAACATAATTTGTAATTTACAATTCACGTTTTGATAAATATATTGTAATATAAAATTATAATAACATATTAATAGTGTTTCAAAATATTATTACAGAACGCAATAAATAATTGTATGAAAAAAATAATAAACATTAAGTATGTATTTAACACAATATTTTTTATAACGATTATGTTAATTGTTAAATCAATTAATTGATTGAGTTAATATTATATTTTACTAAATGTATTATAATTTAATGAGATCCAGAATTAATTAATATGTAAAATTATTATATTTCATATAATTATAAATAAATGGTGAAATGATTATTAAATTACATTTTGTTCAATCGATTTGTTACTCTTGGTACAAAAAATAGTTTATTAAAGTCTTATTATATTATATTGGGTCGTTCAAGAAATAATAATAGTCGAGCAATAAAAATTTAAAATTATTTTTTAATTATGAAGCAAGCTATTATTTTAGATTATGTAATAGCCGTTTTTATCGGCAACTATTGGCCATCAATCGGAAAAAGTTTCATTTACTTCCCGAAAGAACTGGCTGTTTTATAAGGGAAAAAAGTGAGTGAAGTCAATTTCGACCACCACTTTTGTATTGCGATTTATACCATTAAGGCATGACTGAAGAGAATGATATTAATAGCCATCTTATAGTGGAATAACAGGAGAATATTGTGATTATGAGAGATCTTGTCCGCCAAAGCCTTAGAACTTTATTATGGAATTTCCGGAAAAATGTGGTCTAAAAATAGGCCAAAATTAGGCATATTTTAGGTATGCATGTAATTACATGCTCTGAACAAATGCTCACTCGGGTTTAAATGGTCACAAATTATTTCCCAGTATAAGCATAAGTTGACTAACAATTCCATGTGGAAAAATCACTGATCTGACACAACCGGAATTATTGGCACGCGATTGTCCACTTCCCGGTGTCGGGCCGTTCGGGTGCGATCTTTAAGGTTATAATCAATTGATTTAAAACTTTTGAGCAATTCATGTCATTGGTTGGTATCCAATACATCGCCCAAGATTTATATATTGTAACTGTGTGTCTATTTATTAGTACTTTTAACTTAAAACAAAAATAGGTCATCTTTTTTAATGTTCTCGGTACTTTAACTTTTGGGTGAAATCACCACTTCTTAAAATTATTTTGGAACTTTTGTTACATGAATTTAAAGAAAAATAATGACTGCACAAAATAGCGCTTAAATCAATATGATAGCATTTACCGAATAAATTTGCCAGCCGTTCAAACTTAAAATAATTCTAAATTATTATTACATAATGAACGACCCAATAATTAGAGTCGATTTTTATCTCCAGTTGAAGCATGTAAAATATTAGGTAACTAAACGAATACAACCACATATTCTACAAATTACATTTTAATTGATATTATTTAATTATTAAAGACAATTAACAATTCCTGAGCCTATTAAAAGGATATAGTCCTCTACCATAATACATAATTATGCGTCTGTAATGATAATATCACTGACCATTTCCTTTAAATAAAGATTTAATTTATTATTTAAATATTTAATAAAAATGCTTTAATTTATAATTAAAAATACTTACTAATTTTTTGTTTCTTTTCCGCATTGAAATATAATTTGTATTTTGGATATTAGTATTAGAATTAATAGTATTGATAAAAATGGGTGCAATTATTGGTTGTCTTTTAGCACCAATAATAGTCTTAAATTTGATGACCAATTGTGACAATAGGTTTCCAAACAATAAAAATGAAAAACCAAACCATAGGCTGAGAAGTGATCCGATGAATACCCAGTACTCTTCAAATGACATTTTCAATGATATCTCGTACACGACGTCCGGTTCTGACGGTAAGTGTAATTCAATGAGTAAATAATTTGGTATATTTGACGGCATATCCAATGTATGATCCATATTATAATAATGTTTTATACACTCAATACGATCACTGCATTCGCGCCGACATTTATTTTTAATACTATCGTCTCTTTTATTCCCAAAATATGTTACATTATATGCGTTATAATCGCTATTATTATACATAATAAAGTTGTTGGGAAATGTTGCATATATTCCCCAATATTCCCGGATTATGCATTCATTAAGACATTCGCGTTCAGTCATATGACTTGTAAAACATTTACCATTTAGTTTGTAATTGAATTTAATAGTAGTTTTACGGTATTTTATATGGCATTTATCGCTCCAATAACTATCAATTACATTCATATCTCTGCGGAAAAATTCCCGGATATATGCGGAACGGGAATGAATGTAAACATTAAGTAATTTAAAGCCATTTCTTAATAAATCCAAACGATTATTGAAATGTATTTTCATAATTCCCGAGCTCTCAATACCGGTGGTGTTCATCGCATACCTGGTGTCCGACTCGTGCGCCCATTGAGACAAAAATGTCCAACAAATGTAAGACTTTTGATGATAATAATAGGCTATTTGAGGCGCCACCACATCATTACAGGGTATTGTATTGCCGTTGGATTTTTGAAAAGTGCAGTTTAAATAACTATCGATTGGTGTAAACGATTCAAATATTTCATCGATTGATTGATTATTAAATCGTTTTGAATCATAATTTTTCTTTTTCAGTGACCAAAACTTGTTCCTCATATCCGGTCGTATGAAACCGAAAACAGTGGTGCATATAGTGAGCGCCGGCGGACTGACCAGTGTTTCCGATTCAAAACGTATGTTTGTTGTGGTTTCGTATGAAAAGTATATAAAACTGATTTTATATGTTTGGTATAAAAATCCACTCAATAGTAATGTTTTAAATATTAAGGACTTAACGAATATTTTTGAAAACATTTTCATATCTCATATAATTTGTTGTTCACGTATTTGTTATAATGTTTATTGTTATATCTGTTTTGCAAAATTAGGCAACATTTATAGATTACATTTAGAAATAAAACAATTACTGTTAACTCTATTATCTAATTTATTATTATCAAAATGTTGATTATTAAATCAATTAATTGATCAGAGTTTCTTGTATCCCAGTTAAAATTTTATTGACCATTCAGGTTATTATAATAATATAACATAATGCAATAAATAATTTATAGTCAATATCATATTTAATTATTATAAATACAGTATATTAAATGTTTAATCCATTAATTGATTTAACAATACTTTATTACATGTTTACATGTTATAAAATAATCATATTCTATTATTATGTTATTTATGATATTTTAATTAATTCTAAATTAGTTTTTATTTAAATTACATTTCTTTTAATCGACAAGTTAATTGTTTATTCAAGCTTTAATTATATTCAAGTAATATTATATTTTAATTACCCTAAAATTCCGTGCATTACCCGCGGGTTATCCATAGGAAAAAGTTAAAATTTTAGAAAATATTTGGGTGCGGGTTATTTATTGCAAAAAGATTACAAAATTATTACTTCTTAATAGTAAAAATTTTATTCAATAAATTAATAAAATTACACGAAATGTCACTTAAATTCCATTAAGAATCAGTCAAAATCAGAATCTATTTGAAATGCAGATTTTATATTTAGTAAAACATGATAAAATTCACAATTAAAATGATATAATATGGTAATTAATATAATTTTAATCACTGATATTGCCTATTTAGAATACTGATAAAAACATTTTAATAAACAATATAATATCAAAATCTTTAACAGAAAGATTTATTTAAAAAAAAACATCAATCAATTTGACTATAGTTGACAAATAAGTGGGTGTTTTAAAATTGTCGTTGTAATTGAATGACCAAGACAAATTTTATACATATTATTATAATTTATGCCAAATATTCATCCGTTTCCCTCGCGATCCTTTGTATCACTTATTATTAATACGGGTTTGCATTGATTGTAGTGATCGTAGTGTTGGCCATACCTTTTCAAATAGATAATGAATGTCAGAAATATAATAATTATATTATTTTACTAAATGTACCTGTCCCTTCCCAATTGATATATTACGTAAATTTTGATTTATAGAGATATTTATAATTTTCTGTTTCTTATTATTGGTGATAGTGTAAAATTTAATAGCCATTTGTGACAATAGATTTGTAAACATAATGAACGAAAATCCAAACCATAGGCCGAGAAGTGATCCGATGAACACCACGTACTCTTCCCACGACATCTTCAACGATATCTCGTACACCACATCCGGGTTTTGGGGTAAGTTTAGCCAAATTGTAATTTCCTTTTTCATATTGCGAGGTATAGTTAGCGTATAGTCGACAGTATAGTAATGTCTAATACAGTCAATACGATCACTGCATTCGCGCCGACATTTATATTCCATGGTATCATCGCTTTTATGACCAAATTGTGTCACATTATATGCCTTATAATCGCTATTATTATACATGAGAAAATTATTGGGAAATTTTAAATGTGCCCGACTGTATTCTCTGATTATGCATTCATTGAGACAATCGCGTTCATCCATTTCATCGGGAAAACATTTACCATGCAGTTTGTGATTGTATTTAATAGTAGTTTTACTATACTTAATATTACCACCATCGCTCCACGCGAAGTCAAGTACAGCAAAATCTCTGCGGGAATATTCCCTGATTTGTTCCCTCCGGGAATGTACGAACACATAATACCAATTGAAACGGCGGGTGAAATGCAATCGCATTATAATTACATCTTCTAACTCTTGAATACCAGTCGTGTTCATCACATACCGGGTGTCCGACTCTCCCGACAATTGAGCCAATACTGTCCAACAAAAGTTTAATCTTTCACCATGGTAGGCAATTTCATAAGGCACAACATCATAACAAGGTATTTTGTTTCCTTTAGCTCTATGGGAATGGCATTTAAAATAACTGTTGAGTGGTTTATACGTCCCTAAAAGCTTGTCAAGTGTTTGGTTTTTAAATTTTGTTTCGTCCCATTTTCCACCTGGGTGATATTCTTCTTCCACTTCCGGTCGTAATAGACCATCGGTTGGCACACATATTGTGACCGCCGGTGGGCTAACCATTGTCTCCGATTCAAAGCGTATGTTTGTTGTGGTTTCGTATGAGAAGTATATAAAACTCATTTTATAGGTTTGGTATAGAAATCCACTCAATAGTAGTGTTTTCATTACTAAAGACATTATCGATATTTTGGGCCACATTTTTATTCTGATATAATTTTTGGTATTATCTATAATTTTGGTGAAAATGTCAATATACAAATGTATTCTTATTTATTTCAACTGTAATATTTCAAAACATTACATCACCATGGTTATTTGAAGTAAATTAACATTTGAATTACATAAATAAAAATTTAAATAAATTTAAATAAGCATAGAAGTCAATAGAAACATTTATATAGAATTTTTCTCAATGTTTTATCAATGTTATATGTATTTATTATTATAACAATTAAAATATGCTAATAAATGTAAATTTTATATATTTTACTTGTAAACGTCTATAATTAAACAATGCTATTATTAAAATTACCAAAATAGTATAACAACAAACATCCGACTTACAGATTATTTTTATTCATTCTTATAAATGTATTAGGTAAATTGTCTAATTTCTGAATTTTATTTAATGTAAAGAATTTAATTTAATGTAAAATTTTACTTTATAAACAAATGTAAAATCAATTAAATGTTTTCCATATTTTTAATATTTATAATAATTAACACAATATTATTTTAGAAAATAGATGTGATAATTATTTCAAACATTAAGATACTGTAAAGTAATTAATTTATATTTATTGTACACCAATCTATGTTTGAATATAGCCAGTTTATAATTGTAATACATATTAATTGACACAATTTTAATTAAAAGTAGATAACCATAATAACTAACTGTTTGAAAAATGAGATAATAGTAAACCAATTACTGAAAAACAGTGACACATGTGATGACAATCGCCAATAGAATCAAAATTATTGCAATATATAGACGTCTCTATAAAAATAACCGGAAATTAACTAAAAAATCATTTGTATCAATGAAATCATAATTTAGTCGTCAATTCCGGTCCAATCAATCATTTGATTTGCAAATAATGCAATTTATAAAACAATCGCACTTTTGTTTATTACATTTATAATATGATTCAATTCATACCTATTATGCAATTCAATCTTAAGTCCGAAATAGAAATTTTAGTTTTTATTTTGACAATTAGTTTTTATATTTCTCAAAATTCAAAGAATTGCTGGATATGTGTCATACCCACTAAAACGCGCAGGAGCCATTTATGTGCCACTTTTGTATAGTGAGGTTATACTTTAGTTATAGAATGACTAATGCTATCAAATATGAATCTGTCTATAAATTGCTATATTTATAACTCATACAATGCTGATTATTTACAATTACATCTCAACATGCGGATCCTTGGTCATACCTTTCTTGCCTTTGCTTTATATTGTTGTGCGATTCTTATGTCACGTATGCCGTCGTCGACGTATGCTTTCGATGTAAGCACTTGTGTCTCAATTCTGTTGATTGTCTCTCCCTTTAAACACGATTAAATTTTTACAATATTTCATATCATTTATAATAAACGAGATTAAGATATGTAAATAACTGATAAAATACCTGATTCTCAATAAGGAGTTCCATATCAATGAACATATCATGCAATTCACGAATACTATTCCCCAGTTTAATAATATCCGCATATCTGGCCTCAATGTCGGCCACTGACTGTTTAGCCTGTTGTGTGTCTGTAATTATCTAATCGTGATAAAACACAAACATATCAAACATGGATTACGCGCAATTCAATTGGCTAACTGCAATTCTGAATTATCTTATAATGTTATAAATTATAACTTATAATTTAGCATTACGCTATAGGATTAACATTATTAATTAAACTTAAGACTTAAACCAATTATCAGTTGAAATTGCAGTCCAAATGTTATATAAAATGTTATATGAGTTAGTTATCAAATGACATACATCTTGCGTAAAAATTGTAGGATTGCCCGACTCTAACATCTGCTCAATTTGATCGTTAGTCAACTGACGACCAGCTGTTCGGACAAACGTATGAATCGTTAAGATAAAGCGATGGGAAATAATTGTCACACAATTAACACTCACTTATATGCGATTGTCTGACGATCCGATCCATGCATTTCTCCCTATAGTCAACTTGTGTCCGATTGTAATCATTCATAACATCGATAAACAGCCGCAATAACATCGTGTGCTGTACTTTTTTGATCCGTACGTCGACACCAACGGATCCGCTTGACTCCATCGCCGAGATATTCATTTCTATAACTGACAAAAAATGGACAATCCAAGAGTGAGTGAAAAATATCATAATAGTCACCTAGGTCACATGGATTAATGTTAACCAGTGGGAGTTTGTATGACATAGTCAAACTTCTATGCTATCAACTTCTCTATGTTATCAACCAAATGCCCTAGTATAGTTTTGTTGATAACACAGATGTTTGACTGTAACCATAAAGAAACTGATTTCTCTTAGACTAAAGGGTTATTAGCTTTGACTTGATATGAATACCGCAAAAAATGATTAAAACCTTTTAACTTATTTCTCACTTTACTGGTCGTCCGCTTCGTGTCTGCCATCAGATCTTCTAATTGTTTCTTGAGATCTGATTTGAGAGACAAACCAAACAAATAATTACATAATGAATGAGAAGAGAAACTAATGGACAGCTCATAGAGAGGACACAGACTCTCGGCATTTGTGGGCGAACTCAAGATCGTTGAGTGGATTTGTTTCACTTCTTTCACATTCGCTGACATATTGTCGATATTTTGGCGAATCGTTTCCACCTATGGATCAAATAAATGGCAAATTGTTACTCAATTGTTGGCCAATTGAGGGTCAATAGCCTATAAAGCAAACCTCTTGGATAAACGCTTGCATTTGATTACAATATGATATATTTTCGTCAATAATCATCACGTGATTGTCCGCATCCGTCTGAGCCTACAATTATGTAATACATGAAAACATGGTCAAAACAAATGTCATATAAGTTACATACGGCCCGGAGCTCATGGAGCCTATCCTTAACCATTGTTTTCTCTGATGTGACGATTAAAATCAATGAACACAAAAAATGTCTACAAAAAAAACAATAATGTTATCAAAATCTGATAATTGATATATTATTTATAATAATTTATAATAATTAATTTGAAAATAATGTTAACATAATTTTAATACAAATCCCTTTATAATTATTTTGCAAAACAAAAATGTTACCGCTTTGGAAATATTTATGATATTTTATTATTGAAATACACAATTTGAATAATAAATATCGCATATTATTTGCAATTTATAATTAAATTATTATCGATTTGTGTCTGAAATAAAAATAATTATGTCGTATAACATTCAGGTATAACTCCCTTTTATTTTGTTTAGTATAACATTTTATAAAATGATATATTTTAATTATTTACTCACATTTCATATAACTTACATTATTGTATATTGAGTTTATCGAAGCAATAAATTTAATATTTTTCTGTTTCTTTTTCTCATTGAAACGTATTGTGATTTTCGAGAAATATTATTTATATTAACAGAAAGATTGTTTGCATTATTAATTATAAAAGCGTTTGTATTAGTAATTGAAATTTTATCCGTGAATATGTTGTATAATTTGATAACTAATTGTGACAATAAATTTCCAATTGACAAAAACAAAAATCCAAACCATAGACCCAGAAGTGATCCGATGAACACAACGTACTCTTCAAATGACATTTTCAGTGATATCTCGTACACGACATCCGGTTCTGAAGGTATCAGTAATTGAATGTGAAATGTATTGATACTAATATAACGTTGAACATCTAATGTATAGTCGATATTATAATAATGTTTTATACACTCAATACGATCACTGCATTCGTGCCGACATTTATACTCAATTATAGCATCGCTTTTATTCCCGAAATGTGTCACATTATATGTCTTATAATCTCTATTATAATACATAATGAAATTATTGGGAAATATTGAATATGTTTGACAATATTCCCGGATTATGCATTCGTTAAAACAATCACGTTCATTTATTTCATTCGAGAAACATTTATCATATTTAATTTTGTAATTGTACTTGATGGTTGTTTTACCATATTTAATATTACACGAATCACTTTTTGTAATGTCAATTATATTTATATCTTTCCGGGAAAAGTTGCGCACTTTTGCCGAACGGGAATGAATGTAAAGTAGGAACCAATTGAGTGATACATGTTTACGGTGTTTGAACTCCATTGACATTATACCCAACTGTTCGTTACCAGTGGTGTTCATCGCATACCGGGTGTCCGACTCGTGCGCCCATTGAGACAATACTGTCCAACAAAAAAAGCTACTGTAATGAAAATAATAGGCTATTTCATACGCGACCACCCGATTACAGGGCATATCATTCCCCTTTGATTTACGAAAAATACATACAAAATAAGTATCAACTGGTCTAAATGCTAATACCTTGTTTTTTATTGATTGGTTATTAAATAGGTTTTCATCGAATATATTTGTTTTTGGTGTTAAATACTGTTTTCTCACTTCCGGTTGTATAAGAAAATTAGATACACATATAGTGAGCGCCGGCGGACTGACCAGTGTTTCCGATTCAAAGCGTATGTTTGTTGTGGTTTCGTATGAGAAGTATATGAAACTGATTTTATACGTTTGGTATAGAAATCCACTCAAAAGTAATGATTTCAATAGAAAAAATTTTAATGACATTTTAGATGACAATATTTAAATTAACCAATAACTATTTATCATGTAACTTTTACTTCATATAGACTTAGTATATTGTATAAACCTTGATGTAATTTATAAACACACCGGGTGGAGATTGTTGTTTATAATATTGTCTTTATAAATATCTATTTTAATGAAAGTGGTGATAAACTGTATTTTCCAAACAATACATCACCATGGTTATTTAAGTTAAATTAACATTTGAATTATAATAACATTAATAAAATTTGCATGAATTTAAATATGTATTGAAATAAAGAAAAGCAATAAAAGCCAAAAAGTTGTAATATTTAAATTATATTGAATTTCAATGCATTTGCAATGCTTTTTAATTAATGATAGCTCATTGTTATGTGATAATAATGATCATAATGAAATTCATTTTTTTGGTCAAACAATAGTTCTCTACCCCAACAAACAGTGTAATACAATTACATGTCTGTAATGACTACATCACCGACCGTTTCCTTTAAATATAGATTTAATTTAATATTAAAATATTCAATAAAAATGCTTTAATTATAAAATTGAACTCTTTTACCAAATTATTGTTTCTTCCCCGCCTTGAAATATAGTTTATGTTTTGGATAATATTATTAGAATTAATAGTATTAATAACAATGCGTTGATTCGTCTTGTTTATAGTGTAAAACTTGATAACCAATTGCGACAAAACATCTGAAAAAGTAATGAATGAAATGCCAAACCATAGGCCCAGAAGTGATCCGATGAACACAACGTACTCTTCAAATGACATTTTCAGTGAGAACTCGTACACGACATCCGGTTCTGGAGGTAATTGTAAGCGTAGTCTAAAATTTTGTGTAATAGCCCTCGAAATGGCACATCGAAAGTAAACCATGTAATAATGTTTTGTGCACTCAATACGATCGCTGCATTCGCGCCGACATTTATCTTGTATACTATTGTCTCGTTTAGTCGCAAAATGTGTCACATTATATGCATTATAATCGCTATTATTATACACAATGAAATAATCGGGAAATGTTGAATATCTTCCCACATATTCCCGGATTATACAGTCGTTACGGCAATTGTGTTCAGTGATGTCATTTGGGAAACATTTACCATCATTCATTTTATACTTTAATATAGTGATAATTTTGCGATAATTAATATAGCATATGTTACTTAATGCAATATCGAGTGCATTCATATCTCGTCGATAATATTGCCGGATCTGTTCATTACGGGAGTGAACGTAAACACTAAGGTATGGGATCTTGATTTCACGTCTATTTCTAAATTTCATTGTTAATATACTTAACCGTTCAATACGTGTGTCGTTCATCACATACCGGGTGTCCGACTCGTGCGCCCATTGAGACAGTACTGTCCAACAGAAATTAGTTTCGTGTGAATAATAACCTTGTTTATACGATACCACATCATTACAGTGTATCTTATTACGAAATATACACTCAAAATAGCTATCGATAGGTTTGAATGACAAAAAAACTTTCTTTATTGATTGGTTTTGAAATATAGTTTCATAAAATGGCCCATAAATAGAGCTATTATATTGTGACTTCACATCCGCTCGTATGAGACCATAAATATGTGTGCATATCGTGAGCGCCGGCGGACTGACCACTGTTTCCGATTCAAACCTTATGGTTGTTGTCGTTTTGTATGAGAAGTATATGAAACTGATTTCATATGTTTGGTATAGAAATCCACTCAATAGTAATGCTTTCAAGAATACAGTTTTAATAGATATTTTTGGCCACATTTAGATGTTTATAATTTTTTGTTAATATTTATTATTACTTACACTACTAATAATTTTAGTAAAATATGTCAACATATTCCTAAACTGTACGAAAACTCACATGGGGAGCAAAATTTTAATCACTACTTTCCATATTAAAATCTTATTTAACATTTTAACTAAATGTCTATTGTTAAACTTAGCAATTGAAAACAACCATGATTAGCACAGAGCAAATGTAAACCATACAAAAAATATATTTCATTTACAACTTATAATGAAATTTTTTCAATTTATAAATGCTAACAATGATATAAATCATAAAACATTTAATTTAACATTTAACATTTTAAATTTTTATTTTAAATATGCATGAAAATAACAATAAGCTTTATCCATGTAATATAGTAAATGCAGAAAGTGGAAAAATTTCAAGTTAAATCAATAGCTATTTGTATAACAACACAAATTGTGATATTATTAGTAATGATCTGTAGTAGTGATACCAAGTAAAGTAATATTACATTTCAAATGACATATCCAGTGATATCTCTTACACCAAATCCGGAAATATATTATTAAATAATTTATTTTCCAACTTGTACAGTATAGTATTATTAAATATCTCCATGCTTCATATTGCAATATCAAAACAGAATTAATTATATTAACTAAGAATCGTCAAAAATAAAATAATTAATCCTAACCTTATTCTCTATATAAAATAATTAGTATATTATATATTAAAAATAAATGGGAAGTTTACTAAAATGAATGACTAAGAGTATTATTAAGAACATTGTTATATCTAAACATAATAATTGTTGTTTGTAATATATTTTGACATTTTCGACATATTTAATATGCATTGATAATAGGCGTCGATGTCGCTAACTTTCCCATCACATGTTTCCGGGAGTACAATGTGAGCACATTTCAAAGTACAACAATGCAAAACCAACGCTTAGCCGACACACCATAGATTAATGCTTAAAATCTAACTAATATATGAAAATAATAGTTTTAGAGTTTTTGTGAGTTTTGGCCTTGATTTGCCCCTGTGTAGTTGGTTAAAATGTAAAGCTCTCTTTCACACATATATTGAGTGTAGACACAGTTTCGAAGTATATATGGCATAATGGTGTAATGGTTAGGACGTCGGGTTTTGAGCAGTATTGCCTAGGATCGAACTTTGTCCTGACAATTTTTTTTTTTGTTTTTTTAAATTTAAGTTTTGATTTGTATTTTGAGAAAGAGGGATTGATATCGCTATTCAATT